GAAAAACCCTTTGATTGATCATCTCGACATCGAGATGCATGACTATGAAAAATAAAAAGATTTTAAGTCTCAGAAATATTGCATTTTACAACATATTATCTACACTGTCCATTTTCAAGAATTTCATATGTTTATAGATCTACTTGATTGGAACCATTTTTTAAATTTAAAATTTTATAATTAGATATAAAAATAGATTTTGAGATAATCCTGAGAACATTTTACAATCAAAGTTATATACCATGATAAAATTTGAAGGTGCATCTTACCTCTACACTCACGGATGCATCCGTATGCAAACTGCACCCTTGACAGAATTCCCTTTTCTATGTTTTTTGTATTAAAATTAATTTCACTTAAGGCACAAATCAGAGTGGAGAGGTCTCAGACCTTTCACTCCTGATTTGGTGGTAAAAAATTGGATTCGATTGGAAAATTTAAAATGCTTCAAAGATTGACACTGAACCTCTTTTAGACAAAATGATTGTTCCGTAAGAAAAAGTGCTTCAGGCCTCAAGTGTTCTTTTGAAGATGTCACCACTAATATTTTCCTTCACCTATGTTAGATGCTCTTAGATTTAACTTCTTCATATTTCATAGTGCAATGTTATCTTGACCTGTGTAAATTACGCGCTCATCATCATTTTGTGCAGTTTAATTTTCCCATGTACCAGTTTAATTTATCTTCGAGGATGTTCTAAAAAGTTCTTGTCATAAAATTTATGCTATCTAAATTTCTAGTTTCTAGTTTACTTCAAAATCAACTTTTCTATATTCTAGGTTGAAGTTGATTTAGCACTTTCTGCACATGCAAATGCTCGCCGGTGGTATGAACTTAAGAAACGTCAAGAAAATAAGCAGGAAAAGACCATCACAGCACATGAGAAGGCTTTTAAAGCAGCTGAGAGGAAAACACGCCTCCAACTTTCTCAGGTGATTTATTACACACGTCTAAAAGTGCATGCGTTTAAACACAGGCATATGAAAGATATGTTTATTAAATAAAGAGTTTGATGATCCCCTTATATTGAAAAGACAATTCAATCACCCATTTGTTTCCTCTAAGTGATTCTTTATCCAACATCTCTTTAAAATATATAAGTACAAGCTTCAATGCTAATCTCTTTGGTTCTTTTTTTTTTAGTTTATCGCCCCTCCTAGCTTTTTTTTCTTTATTTTTCCTGGGGGGGGAAGGGGGCGGGGGGCGTGGAGTGTTGGTGGGGAGAGGAGGTTTGTGTTGAGGGGGTGGTAGATGAAAGTCTCCTCATGCCTAAGTCGGTCTGTGTCCTAAAGGGGTGCAACTTATTTGAAATGCTAGCTATGATAATGCAAGCCCCTCTCCATGGCTTCAATGCTTTAGCTCTGAAAATCTTTGCAAACCTTAAGTTACTTTGCGAATGTCAATTGAGATAATTTTATAATTAACTTTATGCATAATAAGAAGGATATCAAATAAAAAAAAAAGAAGGTTATCATTAAATATGATCTTTTGGTTGATTCATGGACATTCTTCATATTCCCTTTTGTGTCAGTGGTAGCTAATTCTTGTTTTTAAAATATGGGCTTTCAGGAAAAAACTGTCGCTGCCATATCACACATGCGCAAGGTTCACTGGTTTGAAAAATTCAATTGGTTTGTTAGCAGTGAAAATTATTTGGTTATAAGTGGTCGTGATGCACAACAAAATGAGATGATAGTGAAGCGATATATGCTCAAGGGGGATCTGTAAGTTAGCCTTTCTAAATATGATTATTTATATTCATTTTGGGTTCAAACTTATTATCCTTCTCTTTGGCATGTCATTTATAGTTCATTGCTTGCAATTTTTCATTTAACATGCTATTAAACACTTCTATGATCCATTGGCTTCAATTCGTAACTATGCAAATCCTAATACAATGGCATAGCTGCTTTCTTTCTCTCTATGCTATTAAACACTTCTACCCCCCCCCCCCCCCCCACCTCCTCCTCCCTTTCTCTCTTCCTCCACCAAGTCATGCTTGGAACATAAAAAGTACCTCCTTGATACGGTAACTTGAGGGTTTGTCCTAAATTTAGGTGGCTGGGCAGTTGTTATTTCATGATGGAGAACAAGATTTGAATCTCCTTTGTTGTGTTATTTCATGATGGAGAACAAGATTTGAATCTCCTTGGTTGTGTAAGCCTTTTTAGCTGGCCTTACATATATTATTTCTCAGATGATCTTCCTGAGTCCGTTAGGGTTTTCAAACTCATTGCACATGTATAATGGTTTTCTTAAACAAATATACTTGCAGCCTTGCATTTGCTGCATTGGGTTCAGTTTCTTCTTTTTGCTGATGGTATTTTTGTTATGTAAAATACACCGCGCAGGTATGTCCATGCTGACCTCCATGGAGCTTCAAGTACTGTGATAAAAAATCACAAGCCAGAACAGCCAATACCACCACTTACCTTGAATCAAGCTGGATGCTTCACTGTGAGTCTCTAGTCTTTGTACACATTAACTTTGGGTAGGTCCAATGGGCATATTGTGTCTCTGTATTTCTAAGGGATACATATGATGTTGTTGGGAATCCTAATGGTCTGTTGCATGTTGCATCTGAAATCTTCTCCCTCAATCTTGAGTACCATTTACTTGTTGCTCATATTGATTAATGCCACAGGTATGCCATAGCCAAGCTTGGGAATCCAAGATTGTTACAAGTGCTTGGTGGGTCTATCCTCATCAAGTGAGCAAGACTGCACCCACAGGAGAATATCTTACTGTAGGAAGTTTCATGATTCGTGGGCGGAAGAACTTTCTTCCTCCTCATCCTCTTATTATGGGTTTTGGCATACTATTTCGTTTAGATGAAAGTTCCCTTGGGTCACATCTAAATGAAAGAAGGGTTAGAGGTGAGGACGAAGGGTTGCAAGATGTGGAGGAGAATGGTTCTCGTGTGGAACCAATGGATTCAGGATCTGATGAGGAAAACGAAGTGGAGAAGAGAAGTGAGGAGCTTAATACTAACTCAGACATATCAATAAATCACTCCAAAATAACATCAAATGGCCCAATTGCGAGTGCGTTTGAAAGTGCTACCTCAATTGAGCTTGATAATAAACTTTTCTCAAAGAAAGAGTTATCTGAACCGCGCATGCTTCCCCAGCTCGATGTGCTTATTGACAGGGCTCTAGAGCTTGGATCTAAGCAAATAAGGGGCAATCTTCATGGGCTTCAACAAGATACCCAATCAGATGACCAGGATGAAATTCCTGAAGAAGGAAAAGAGGCTCAAAGGGCAAAACCTTACATTTCGAAGGCAGAGAGAAGGAAACTCAGAAAGGGTCCAGAAAGTGGTACTGGTTCTACTGAAGAGCATGGAAAGAAAGAAAGCAACGAAAATCATTGGTCAAATCCAACACCTCCTAAAACTATCGAAAACCCAAAACCAACTGGAGGGAAGGTGAGTCGTGGACAGAGAGGAAAGCTTAAGAAAATCAAGGAGAAGTACGCCGAGCAGGATGAGGAGGAAAGGAAAATTCGTATGGAACTTCTTGCAGTATGTAGCTTACCTTTCAAGATCAAACTTTTGCTTTCCATTATTATAGATCAGTCAAGCATGAAATGCTTTATCTTTGTCAGCTTTCTAACTAATTTACTTTGTTTCGACTGTCAAAATTACTTGAATTCCACCATTTAGTCTGCTGGAAGAGCACAAAAGGATGTAAACGAGTCAACAGAGAAGAGAGATGGGGTTACTGGAAATTACAGTGTTTCTACGACGGGTAATATCCTGTAATCTCTAAATAATTGACAGTTTTCTGCCTGGTTCTGTTTGTTGCAGTGGAAGTAAAACCTTGAGAACAATCTTTTATCCAATTTTTCTAACCAACCACATTGTAAGGACTTCTGAATTTTGCATGGCCATGTCTGCAGCAATCAATCATTGAGTCAGTGATGTTAATATGTTGTGTGTAAATGAATGTTTTCTGTTGTATTTTCCAATCAACTTTCTTGGTTGATTCATATATCTAAAATGGATGTGTTTATGTTCCATTTCCCAATCATCTATTTGATTTATTCATGTTACTTTAAGAAATCTATGAATTGGGGCAACCCAGTGTCTTTGGATGCTGTGCCACCACAACTTATTTATAAACTTGCATAAATATTAGGGGGTAATTGGGGGTTTTCTTTCCTTGGCAAATTGATCTGGTGTTTGCCTTATCTTTACTTTCCCATGACCCAAGATTGATTTAATTTAGTTAAACCAACAGATCATGAGGATATCACAAAGATATGCTACAAATGTAAAAGGCCTGGCCACCTTTCTCGAGAATGCCCAGAGAATATTGATGATGCCGATAACAGTACTGTGACCATGCATAGTGGTGTAGATACTGAGCCTTCAGACAGAATGTTACTCGAGGAAGATGATATTCATGAGATAGGTGAAGAAGAGAAAGTTAAATTAAATGATGTGGACTACCTGACTGGCAACCCTCTCCCAAATGATATTCTACTGTATGCTGTACCAGTCTGTGGTCCTTATAGTGCCGTACAAACATATAAGTATCGAGTGAAGATCACTCCAGGAATGGCTAAGAAAGGAAAAGGTGCGTTACTTTCTTCTTTGCTTTTTGCAAGGATACCAAAGTAAAATTGCTAGTTATTGGTTTTGAGAAAATATACTGCCATACTTTGGACAGCCATGGTCACCACATGGGTCATGACCGTGCTATTCGTTTTCTAAGGACCTATTAATGCACTTGTGCTTTAGTGAAATTTCCTTTTTATTCATATTTTACACTTATTTTGCATGCATTATTTGCAACAAGATTGTCTTAACAATCGTGGTATAACTTGTGGAAAGATCCATTAACATTATGATATGGATCCTGGATGCTGCTTATGCAGCTGATAGTTTACACCATCTACAATATCGATGAATTACAGATAATTTCCCTTGGTTTTTAAGTCTTTTTGAAGGATGTAATTATAAAACTACCCTTCGAGGAACGCCAAGTTGTGTATTTTTTCTATTTTTTCCCCATCTTCGTATTCTGCTGCTAATGCAGCATGAATCTATAGTAAAGAAATGGCGTCATCCACATCACAAGAAGAGACATATCAGCATCTCTCTACTTGTCAGATTCCTAGGCTTGAATCTGAATGTAAAATACATAAACACTTATAAATTGCATATGCATTATTCTATATATATATATATATATATATATATATATATAGTAGAGAGAGAGAGAGAGAGAGAGAGAGAGAGTAGT